AAGTCTGCATTCGTTCCTTGTCAAAGTAAAATCATGTACATTTACTTTTGCACCATAAGACATGCTTGATTTAAAGTTGTTTTTATTACTAATTGTATTTAATTTCTTCATTTATGTATTTATTTTTAAAGTTTTTTTGCGAAATATAGTAGTCAACATTTAAAGTGGATCAAAAAGGTATTTCAAAACTGTCCTAAGACAAGATTGAATGCAAGGTTGCAAGGTTTTGAACCTCTTCTAATGTTGACAACTGTAGAATATGTGCTGTTCTGCTTGCACGCTCAGAGAAGGAAAAGAACATGGACGTGTAAAGTCATCTTTTAGCTTAAAGGTTCACGAAACCCTCAAGTAATTTTTTTGAGATTTTAAGTTTTGTGTGTGTTGAGCATCAGTTAAGACAATGTTAGCTCCTGTTGGCTGTAACTATGGGGAAAACTGGATAATTTTGAGCTTTTGTCAGCTAATTTCAGCTTCCGGGTTTAAAATGATTTTTGGGGCGGGATCAAAATTGGTGGCGTAGTGCAAAACTGCAAGTGGAGGGATGAGGCGTCGGTTTCTCATTATTATTCATAGCAGTTTCCTTATCCTATGAGAAAAGCCTGCTACTTAATTATTCATGACTGTGCGTGCTTTCTGAAAGCAAGGCAGACCTGCCAGTGCCAAGCTGTGTGACCCTATGTTGATGACTGGGTGAAACCGCGTCCACGGACCCACGGCAAACAGTATTAAGCTGTTCATGAAGGGTCGTATGTGTTAGTTTCCATGATCCACGGGGTTTGTTTCAAGTTTTTCCCTGCAATCCTGTCAGGGCTGAAAATACAACGCATTTTTTTTCGGGAGAGCAGTACGAGAATTGGAGAATGGCAGACGTTGTCTTTTATCAGGACACCTCGCCGTGCTGCTGTGTTTGCCAAAATCCTCCAGGTTAGCAGCAGGGCTAATGGTTAAAATAGACAGGGCACGAGACCTGCTGCAGTGAGTCTGGATTCAGACCCGGGGATTGAGGGAGAAGTCGTCATTTACAGTGTTTATATAAATACGATTATCTTTACAATTAAATTGTGTTTGTGTGTTTATGAAATTACAAATAACAAATGTAGCAGGGCATTAAATTACTGTTGACTTCTTTGCATTTTAACTTTGTAAACTAAAAAATCATGGGTCTCCTCACGGTTTGTTTATCATTTTGTAAGTCAACTGACAACAGTTGTTCGCTCCCCTCCTTCTCCCCTGCTCTGCTGGCCACGCCCACTCCTGCCTCTGATCGCGAAGCTCCACGCCCATTATGACTATGATGCAGTTTTTGAAAATTTCTAAGGTAGACTTGAACTAAAAGTGGGGGGTTTCATCAAGTGGTGCTCGCTGCAGAGCCATTTGAGGAGAGCTGAGCTCCAGCGAGGGGG